ATTAGTTCTAACAGTTTTGGGTAAAGTCTTTAGGGTTGTCTATTTATAGTATTATGCCACCTACCAATAGAGACAATTTTACTCATTTCTTTCAGATTTGAGTGACTTTTATTTCTTGCCTGATATTTCTTGATAGTGCTTACAGTACTATCTTGGATAAAAGTGATGAGAATGGACAATGTTGTATTATTTCTGATGCTAGAGAAAAAGCTTTCAGCTTTCCACCATTAAATGTAATATAATCTGTGAGCTTGTCATTGATGGTCATTTTAATGTTGAGGCTTTCCTGGTGGCTCATATGGTAAAGAATTCACCTGCAAAGCAGGAGACCCGGATTTATCCCTGGGCTGGGGAGATCCCCTGGAGGAGGGAATGGCAACCCACTCCAGTATTATTGTCTGGAGAATCCTGTGGACATATGAGTTTGGTGGACAGTGTGTGGGGTCATGAAGAGTCAGACATGACTGAATAATTAAGCATGCAGGCTTGTATTTGTTCCCTCTGTACCCACTTTGTTGAGAATTTTTATCATTAATGAATGTTGAATTTTTTCACATGCTTTTTCTACATCTATTGAGATAATAATATGATTTTTATCCTTTATTTTGTTAATATGGTGTATCACATTGATCCTTGCATCTTTGGAATAAACCCCATTTGATTAAGGTGTTTTATCCTTTTAATGTACTATTGAATTTAGTTTGCTAATATTTTGTTGAGGATTTTTTGCGTCTATGTTTACTGGGGATATTGGCCTGCTATTTTATTTTCTTATAATGTCATTGTCTGGTTTTGGTATCAGGATAAAGGTGGCCTAATAAAATGAGTATGAATGTTTCCCTCCTCTTCCATTTTTTTGAAAGAATTTGAGAAGGATCAGGTAATTCTTCTTTAAATGTTTGGTAGAGTTTGCCATTGAAGCCATCTGGTCCTGTACTTCTGTGCACTGGGGATTTTGGTTTTGGTTTTACTAGTAATTTGACTATTAAGATTTTCTATTTCTTAATGATTCTGGCTTGGTAGGTTTATCTATCCCCTCTAGGTTGCCTAATTTGTGTATAATTGTTCATAGTAGTCTCTTATCCTTTGTGTGGTATCATTTGTAATGTCTCTTCTTTCATTTCTAATTTGAGTCTTTTTTTTGTTCCCCCTTCATTTAGTTAACAATTTGTCTATTTAACCTTTTGAAAAACAGTCTTTAGTTTTATTGGTCTTTTCTGTTGTCTTCTTAGTCACTATGTCATTCATTTCCACTCTGATCTTCTAACTTTGGCCTTAATTTGTTCTTTTTTTCTGGTGCCTTGTGGTATAAATTTAGGTTGTTTATTTAAGGTCTTTATTTTTTCTTAATGTAGGTATTTATTGCTATACATTTTCCTCTTAGAACTGCTCTTACTACTTCCAACAGGTTTTTGTATTTGTGTTTCCACTTTCATTTTTCTCAAGATTTTTTTTTTTAATTCTTTGATCCATTGGTTGTTCAGGAGCCTGCTGTTTAATCTCCATGCATTGGTGAATTTTCCAGTTTTCTTTTGGTAATTGATTGCTAGGTTCATACCATTGTGGTCAGAAAAGATGTGTGATATGATTTTAGTCTTCTTCAATTTATGAAGGTTTGTTTAGTGGCCTAATATATGCTCTATCCTGGAGAATGATCCATGTGTGTTTGAGAAATGTATTCTGCTGCTGAATGGGATGTTCTATAAATAAATATCTGTTATGTCCATCTAGTCTAACATGTAGTTTAAGTCCAGTGTGTTTGCTTGCTAATTTCTGTCTGGATGATCTTTCCATTTTTGAAAGTGGGGTACTGAACTTGCCTTCTATTATTGCATTGCTGTCTATTTTTCCTTTCAGATCTGTTAATATTTGCTTTCCATATTTAGATGCTCCTATGTTGGGTGCATAAATAGTTATAAATGTTGTATTTTCTTGATGAATTGATCTCTTTATCATTATGTAATGACTTTCTTTGTCTCTTATTATAGTGTTTGACTTTACACCTGTTTTGTTTTAAATAAGCTACCCCAGCTTTCTTTTAGTTTCCATTTGCATGGGATATCTTTGTCCATCCCTTCACTTTCAGTATAGTCCCTGTGTGTGTGTAGTCGTGTCTGACTCTCTGCGACCCCATGGACTGCAGCCTGCCAGGCTCCTCTGTCCGTGGGATTCTCCAGGCAAAAACACTGGAGTAGGCTGCCATTTCCTTCTTCAGTGGATTTTCCCCACTCAGGGACTGAGCCCAGTTCTCCTGCATCGCAGGAAGATTCTTTACTGTCTGAGCCATCAAGGAAGCCCCACTTTCAATATATGTGTCTTTAAAGCTGAAGTGAGCCTTGTATGCAGGACATGGTTGGGTCTTGTTTTTTCTTTTTTTTTTTTTACTAAGCTCCTCTATGTGTTTGATTTGCTGTCCAGCCAATAAGAAGTGAAATCAAGCAACTGTTCATTATGCTGCAGTGGGATTTGAGATAGAAAATACTTTTCACAAATACCCTACTTTAATTAAAGCTTAGCATTTCCCGCACAAAGGAAATAAATGATAATGCATTATTATGAACTTGTCTGCTTAGATAAATAAAGCCACACAGTGGGAATTTTAAAAGGTTTTGTGGGAACCCATGAATTATTAGTCATACCTTTTCCTTTATTTCTCTGGTAATGTTTGGAACATTCCCCCTCTCTTTAGTAGTTTCTGGAATTAGATAGGAAGATTCTATAGCCTCCAATGAACATGCTCTTTATTTATTTATTCTGAATTATTTTTTTCTGTGGCCTTGTCATTTTTGCTTCATAGATTTGGAGGGAAGGTTAGACCAAGGTTTAGCACTGTTATAAAGAGCCAGATGAGTGAGAATGTTAAGACTTTTTCATGTTGTGGTTTTCTAAGGCAGTGGAGCCGATCCTTTCTACTATAATTTGGGAGGCAGTGGATAAGAACTCCTTTTTTTTTTTTTTTTCTTTTTCTTTTTACTAGTGGATATATTCACTTAAATTTCATCCTTTAAAATACAAATATTTCGGTGAGGAGAAAAGCATGAATATTAACATTCCAGATGGGACTAGAAAGGAACTTTGCCATCATCTAGTATAAAGGTTCTTAAAATGCATATCCCCTTAGTTCCTTTCAAGATGCCATGTTGACATTGCAGTAAATGTGCAAAAGCTATGGTGAATGAAACTGCTGGCATCTTAAATTGAATAAGGGCAGTCTCATTCAATGACACTGGTAGTCATATATTCATCATTACATACTTGAACCGAAATGCACACACATACACATGCATGTTAGCTTCACAAGTGCCCCTGAAGCAGTAAAATCTATTTTTATTGGATCTTGACCATGAGTTCATGTCTTTTTAATATTTTGTATGATAAAGTGAAAAGTACACATAAAAGCATGTTTGAGGTTACTGAAGAATGGTGGTCTCAGAGAAAAATACTTTTCTGATTGAGTTGAACTAGCCATTTTTTTCATGGGATGACTGAATTTTTCTTGAACAACCAAGAGACAATCTATGGTTATGCAGATTGTAGTGTTTGGCAGACATTTTCTCAAAAATAAATAAATAAAGGAATGAAACAAGCCTGCTTCTTTAAGGGAAACAACTGACAGTATTTATTACCAGTGATAAAATGTAAGCTTTCAAATGAAAATTAGAATTTTGGAAAACTTGTATTTGTCATCATAAGCTTGACAGCTTTCCAATATTTAAGGACTTCTTTGATGAGATTTGTGGCAATATTAACAAATATGTTTTGATATTATATAATAAAATATGTCAAAATATGGAAGATCTGAATAACTCAATGGTCCTATATTTTGCAGATGGATGACCAGTATATGATGTTTCAAAATCACAGAGTAAAAAGATGCATTCGAAGTGCAATATAGAACACTGGGTTTTAATGTGACTGAGAATGAAAAGTTTATTGGTATGGTTTCAGAGTCCACACTGTAATTAACCTTTAAGAAAGTATGTTTGTTGAGTGTAGTGTAGTCCCAAAGAAGAATATTCACAATTATCACAACAGATTGAACACAGAATACAAGAATGCAGCTCTCTTCTGCTAAGCCAGAAACTCAAAGAGATTTGCCAAAAGGCAAAGAAAATGCCATTCTTCTTACTGAATCTGTTTTGCTTCAGAACATACAGTGATTGTCATACAAATATGTTATTTATATTACTTGTAGTGGCTTTATTTCTGTTACTTTATAATGAAAAAAAAATGGATTTAAATTTCTCAGTTTCAATTTCTAAAGTGGTAATTATCATTAGATATAAACCACATGAATACAGGGGGCTCTTCAGTTTTAAGAGTATGGTAGTATCATGAGACCGAAAAGTTTAAGAACTGTTGTTCTAAACCAATCTTCTGACTTTACAAATGGGTAACAGAGGTCGTGAGGTGACTCATCCACTGAGTTGCAATTGTGACTAGGTCTTATCTCTGCTTCCCTGGTGGCTTAGATGGTAAAGAATCTGCCTGCAGTGCAGGAGACCCAGGTGTGATCCCAGGGTTGGGAAGATTCCCTGGAGAAGGGAATGGCAACCCATCCCAGTATTTTTGCCTGGAGAACCCCATGGACAGAGGAGCCTGGTGGGCTACAGTCCATGGGGTGGCAAAGAGTCAGACATGACTGAGTGACTGCACTTTCTTTCATTTTCTTATTTCTGTAAACCACTTTCAATATTTTCATTGTTTGTTTTTCCCCTACTACACACTACGACCATGACTGTCTTTGGGAGAAGGGAAGCCACTCTCCAATGAGAAAGCTGAGTGGAAGCATATTCTGGGAGGTCAACTGGGGTAGGGCTTTCTTATCACCTGGGAACGAGAGGCCAGAGGGCCTCTTTCAGGCACCGGTGTCTCCATCTGCAGAGATGTGTGCTGAGAGGAGACTAGGCGGTGCTAGTGAAGGAAGAAACACACTTGCTCTCAATTTTATTCCTCTTGTCCCAGAATACAATTGAGTTTTCCCTTGTCTTTCCCTCCAGGGAGTTTGCACGTTGGAAAGTGAACAACCTGGCTCTGGAAAGGAAGGACTTCTTTAGTTTGCCACTGCCTCTTGCCCCAGAGTTTATCCGGAACATACGCCTCCTGGGAAGGAGACCCAACCTGCAACAGGTCACCGAAAACCTGATCAAAAAGTATGGCACTCACTTCCTACTTTCTGCCACCCTCGGAGGTAAGCAGTATCTTGATCCTACCATCCTACACTCGCTGGTTGCCAGACCATTGGAAATAGCTTTCTAACACCTGTTGACTACAGCTTCGATACTTTTCCTAGATCTTTTATTCTTCCTGTCATTGTTTTGACTTGGAAATGTTCTCATTCTGGTGCATTTGTCAACAGTATAATCTCTTGACATCCAATTTCATTGCCAGAACATTGCTTTGCTTATATGCATCCTCCTGGGGAGGAGGTTGCGGGGTAAGGAGGTTGGGGGACAGACGTCTGCTAAGCACTTGCCAGCAGGGGGCGCTCCCAGTTTTCTTTTGACTGAGCCATCTAACCCTGAAGTTTCTCCATATCCTAATATTGGCTGTGGCTACAGTAGTCAGTATGTGTGCTCAGTCGTGTCCAATGCTTTGTGACCCCATGGACTGTAGCCTGCCAAGCTCCTCTGTCCATGGGATTCTCCAGGCAAGAATACTGGAATGAGTAGCCATTTCCTCCTCCAGGGGATCTTCCCAACCCAGGAACTGAACCCGCATCTCCTGCTGGCAGCCCAGGTGGCACTAGTGGTAAAGAACCAACCTGCCAATGCAGGAGACAGAAGAGACCCAGGTTCGATCCCTGGGTCAGGAAGATCCGCTGGAGGAGGAAATGGCAACCCACTCCATTATTCTTGTCCAGGGACAGAGGAGCCTGGCTGGCTACTGTCCACAGGGTCACACAGAGTTGGACACAACTAAAGCGACGTAGCATACGTGCACTCCTGCATTGCAGGCGGACTCTTTACCGTCTTAGCCACCAGGGAAGCCCAGACACATAGGCAAAAAAGGAAATGCTCGTTAAGTCCCTGATCTCTCTGCTTCCACTCTGTAGAGACTGGTAACCAGCCAAACAGATTCCAATGCTTCTGGGCTGGATGGAGGCAAAGGTGAGGTGGTACAACCTCTGGCTAGGACCTAGAGCAGAATTGAGAGCTGGAAAGAGGCAGAGTTCTCTCTGTCCTGGAAAGAAGAAAGGAGGATTTATTATAACATTTAGCTCACTGTCTTATGGACTACAAAGGAACACTCCAAGGGTTCAGGCCAGCTGCTGACATGTGGTAGGTGTTGAGCCTTTGAGGGGGAGAAGGGAGGTTGAGCTTCAAGGCTTTTGCCCTTTCTTAGGGAGCAGAAATATCCACGGTGATTCTTTATAAACAGCTTGAGAGAGAGAATTTTATCTTGCCCATGGAGGTAGATTGCCTGAGACAGAGATCAATAGAGGATGTTAAATGGATAAGCTGGAGGGGCGGGGGATGAGCTTTGGGCGATTACGGAAGTGGGGAGGAGGAGGCTGGCCTCTCAGGCAGCGGTGCCCTTATCCTGTGGTGCAGTCTGATGAGAGCGTTGTGGTAGGGATGGGAAAAGGCTGTCAGCAGGGGCCACAGGCGCCCTCTTAGCTCAGTCTCTGCTGGAGGAGGGTTTCACGCTCTGATGGGTAGGGGCTCGGGGAGCTGAAGGCCTCACCAGGACGCCCATGTTGCCTGCTGTAGGAGAAGAGTCCCTGACCATTTTTGTGGACAAGCGGAAACTGAGCCGGAAGTCAGAGACGGCAGGAAGTGCCTCTGTGATCGGGGGCAGTGGGAACAGCTCCGCCGTGTCCCTGGAGACCCTGCACCAGCTGGCAGCCTCCTACTTCATCGACAGGGAGAGCACCTTGCGGCGGCTGCACCACATCCAGATAGCCACGGGGGCCATCAAGGTAAGGGCCTGAGAGGTGCTGGGGAAGGGAGGGCAGAGCGGCAGAGACACCGGGCGGGGGCCTGGGTCTTCCGCCTGACTGACGGTAGTGGGAAGCAGCTTTCTGATGTGGGCACAGCCCTAAAGCCTGGGCAGGGGCTTCCTTCTGCAGCAAACAGCCAACATGGCTTCTTCCCTAAGGCAGGCTCTGGAGCTCTGAAGCTCTGGAGCTTCCCTAAGGCAAGCTGGAGCTGAGGGAACCTCAGTGAAAGGCAACCGAGGCCACTGCTTTCCGGAGCTCACACTGTAGTGGGGGAATGAAGATAATACACTTGTAAAAATCAGCAAAGTCATTCCAGGTTATGATACAAGGGGGAAACTGAGTCATAGGTACAGATTTCCTGAGGCAAGAGGGGCACAGCTAGTATTAGCCAGACTGGTCAAGGAGGAGCACACTTGGGGTTTAGACTGAGGTCTGAATCCCTAGAAGCCAGCTGTGTGTAGATCTGAGGGAAGGGTGTTCAGGCGGGGGCAATGGTGAGTGCTAAGGCGCTGAGGCAGGAACCAGTGTGGTGCTGTGGTGAAACCCAGGACTGCTGGGACTGCAGAGAGGTGAGCAAGAAAGATGCTGGTGCAAGATGACATTAAGAGGTAGGCTGGAGCCAGGTCACATGGCTGTGATAAGACTTTTAATATAAATCAAAGTGCAGTTGAAAACCAGCAGAGGAGTGATGTGATTTCATGTATGTTTGAAAACCTCAATACGTCCTATGATTTCAATAACTATAACATCCATCCCATGTTCTCTAGAAGACTTCTAGGGCAGTTCATGTTGTATAAGGGAAGAGAAGACTGGTGATGATACTTGAGATCACTGGAGATTCTACTTCTAAATATAAAGTGAGGCTGTTGAGAATCAATCTTATATTCTGCTTTTATCCCACCCAAGACTCACAAGGAAGTTTTGTTCATTCATTCATTTATTCAATAAGTATTTAAAAATTTTTTAAATTTTATATTAGAGTATAGCTGATTTACAATGTTCTGTTAGTTTTAGGTGTACAGCGAAGTGATTTAGTTATACACATTCATATATCTATTCTTTTTCAGATCCTTTTCCCATATAAGTTATTACAGAGTACTGAGTAGAGCTCCTTGGGCTGTACAGTTGGTCCTTTTTGGCTGTTTTACATACAGCAATGTGCATATGCCAATCTCAACCTTATTGAACACCTATTATGTGTCAGGCACTCTTCTGGGTACACTGAGATTCCAAAAGTGAGTTATGACATATAAGGTCCCTCCCCTCGTGAAGCTGAAATTCTAGTGGTGGAGACATAATCAAAGACATAGATAATGTCAGGTGGGATTATTGGTAGAAAGACACAAAGTCTGGGAAGACTATAGAGGGGCGATGGAAACATGGTACTTTAGGGAAGACCAGATCGGAGATATGAGTGAGCGAGGGCGTGAGTCATAAGGGTATCTTGAGTGACTGCATTCAAGATGGAACAGGGAGGGAGTGCAACTGCCCTGAATTGGAGAGTGCTTGGTATGATCCAGGAGCACCAGTGGTGTAGCTGGAGTGGAGTCAGAGGAGTGATGAGGCACCAGTGGTTGCAGGGGCCAGATCATGAGGGCATTGCTGATGAGAGAAGGGGGTTCCTGGAGCCCAGTGTACCCATTACTGCACTGGCCAAGATGAACAACAGTGACTTGGATGAAGTTGGTGCAATAGTGCTGGTGTGAAGTTCCCAGGTTCAGGTTATACTTGATGGTAGAACCTATCCAGGGTTAGCTAAGAAACTGGAAGAAAGGAGTCAAGATTAATCACACGATTTTTGGCCTGAGTAACATGATAAACAGTGGTTTCATTAACTGAGATAACACTGGGGCGAGGTGCCGACCTGAAAGAAATAAATCAAGAGTTCAGTTTTAGACATGTTGGATTTGGCATTCTTATTAGATATCTAACAGGCAATTGGCTATACACACCAGGATTTCAAGAGAAAGGTTGATATTGGAGATGTAAGTTTGGCATGCAAATATATCCACAAGTGTAGTTGGTATTTAAAACTATAGTGAAGGATGAAGTGATATCACTTGAGGACTGAATGCTGCTGATAAACTAGACCTAGGGCTTTGGATCATGAAGCACATCAGTTTTCAGCAATGGGCCAAACGAGGAGGATTCAACAAAGGAAGCTGAGACAGAGCATAAAGGTTAGAAGAGAACCAAACTTGGATTACAAAGCCATATGAAGAAAGGGCTTTACAAAAGAAGGAGCAGGCAACTTGAGCAGTCAGATTGCAAATATGACCTTCAACTTGGCAATGTGGAGGTAACTAGTAACCTAGATAAGAGTAGTTTCAGTGGCATGAAAGGTATAAAAGGCTGAGTGGAGAAAGTTCAATAGAGAGAGTGGAGTGAGCATTAGAATCGTGGAGACAGTCCTTGAAAGGTTTTGCTATAAAAGCAAATAGAAAAATAGGTGATAGCAAGAGAGTGATGTGGGAATCAAAAGAGCTTGTGTTTTTGTTCTAAAAATGGGAGCTATTCCAAGATATTGGTATGTTAATTAAAATGACTCAGTAGAGAGGGGGGAAATCATGGTGCAGGAGAGACAGGAGATGATTGCAGAAGCAATTGAGGAGGTGAGAGAGGTGGTTATTCCAGGCATGAGTGGTGTGGCAGGTCTCACACAGGACTACAGACACTTCATCCTTTGTAACACAAGGCAGTACAGAGCATACAGCACACATGCAGTGAGATGACAGATGTGATGGTGGGAGGATATGGATATTCTCTTCTGATTTATTCCATTTCCTTGATGAAACAAGCAAAGTCCGTGGCTAAATGGAAGAAGGAATTGCTGAGAAAAGAATGTATGAAGTGGTTTTTCAGAGAGTTAAGGTTATCAATTGACTAGATAAATGCAGTCAATTGTTGAGGGGCACAGAAGGCCCATTTGAGGCCCATGGTCATAATTATTACATGAGGCCAGTCAGCAGAGTTGTGAGTTTTATCAGCTATATTCAGCCCTTCATGTTCAGACAAGCATGGGATAGATGGAGAGTTGAATTAAACCAAGATGTGTGTGTGTGTATGTGTACAAGATGAAAGAAAAAAACAGGCAAGAGAGTTGAGAATATATAGAAAAGAGTGATTACAGTGATGGATCAAGGGATTTGAAACCATTAGGGGATGATAGAAAGTGAAAAGTTGACCAGGTCAAAAGATTGGAAGTCTTAAGTAGGTTTGATGACTTGTTACAGGGAAGAGACTAGAGGAGGTACAAGTATGTGATGTTTAATATTGCAGTTACAGAGGATCAGGTTCTGGGGCATGACCATAGGTGTGGAAGGCTAGGATGGGGTTCTCTGGAGGACAAGAGGAGGAGGGGGGGGAGACTAGGGTATTAAAGGATCACCTACGTGGATGCTGAAGTCATCAGGAATGATTCAGATCTGTTTGTGGTAAGAAAGATGATGGTCAGCAAGCTAAATTCTGAAAATCCTTAGTGAGGGAGAGGGAGTAATGAGAAAAATAGACCGTGCCATGGAGGGGTAGTGAATGATAGTCCTGATGGTTCTGACTTCAGAGGGGCCAGAGAAAGTTAGAGAGGAAGGAGGACCATTGGTCCTAGAGAAGACTGAGGGGGAAGACATGTCCTCAGAAGCTGCTAAGTTCTGCTTGGAACAAAAAGGTGAGGTGGACTCTTGAGAAGAGATTGAGGTTATAAATGTTCTTGCTGAGGACTGATCATGAGATTCTGAGGGCATGATGGAGCATAAGTGGAGAGGAGGGGTCAGGTTAGGGGATGTCCAGGGTCTGGAGTGAGAGTCTGAGAGAGGAGGAAGATGGATGTTCAGGCAGACTTAGGGTACATTTTGGAGGCTGGTATCTTAACTTAAACTGATGAAAGAAGGACTGTAGTAGCATAGAGTGGATTTTACTAAGAAGACAGAACTATGTAGAAGCCCCCTCTCTCTTCAGCCCTCTAGTGGGCTGTGTTAAAGTTGAAGAAGAATTGGTCTTATCCATTCATGAAAGGTAGACCTGGATGAATAACTCCATGGTCCCATTAATGTCCCTTTCTAACCTTTGACCTGACCAACTTATCTCTTTCTGTCATTCCTCCAGGGCCTCGTTGCCCATCTTAGATCTCTAGATCCATCGCTAGAATCACTCCCTTGCATGTAACATCTTCAGCTCACTCATTGCCTCCTCTCCATGCTCACGGCCATTCCCAACGTCATCAACTCTTTACCTGATTTTCTCGCACAATTAGTCTTCCCATCCACATTCTCCGCTCTGCTCCCTGATTCATCATCTATGCTGCTTGCATGAGTACAAATCATATCATTCCACTGCTTGAAATCAGTGGCTCCTGACTATACATGGGTACGGCTCAAAACCACCATCTCCCATCCAGGGAGGCAGTATCATGCATGGGAAAGAACCCAAGAGTCTGAGCTCAGCTCATGGCAAGGCTTTGAACAACTTAACCAAACTTCTCTGAGCCCCAGTTAGTTCCTTCTAAAATTGTTGAACACTTAGAATAATTTCTACTGTGAAGGATTTCTGGGAAGATCTAGTAAGAAAATATATAGAAAGCACGAGCAACTGGACCTTGAAAAGGAATAATTCTTCTGCTTCACAAGATGGGAAGGCAGTTGAAGACCTGCTATGCCTGTTGTCTTCTTAGTTTTAGCTTCAAGCAGTCCTCTTACACTCTTCTCAACCCTTGCTCCCCGCCCCTGCCACAGCCCTTCGTTAGCGTTTATATTCTCTGGGTCCCCCTCCCCCCTGTGCTTGCTGTTTTCTGCTTGCAGTGGTTGTTCTCTGCCTGAGTGGCCCCTCCTACCCCTTCTTTGGCTCAAAAAGGTAACCCTTTTGTGAAGCCATTCCTGACTCCCAAGGTAGCTGATATTTCAAGCGTGCCTACTTTATAGGGATTGTCACTTAAATTGAGTGCTGGTTAGCAAGAGGACCTCTGAGATTCTGAGGTCCTTGTGGGA